GGTAACTTGTCAATTTGACTGAATTTTGCAAATTTTCGTGCACTTAGCCATAATGCCCAATGCCTAAGCTCGAATTACTTGAGCGTGGCGAATTGTTCCAAAGCAAGTAACGCCAGTAAGCCAAGCCAAGAGACAATAGAGGAAATTGCGATACTTAAGAGTCTAAAATTGTTTTAAAAGCCAGTTGTTGAAGTTTCAGTTAGCGCCTCCCTCTTGCTCAAAAAGTTAAACATTTGGGAATATGAATCTAAACAAGACTGATCATATCAAGGCGAAGCCTTGAATACTCCGAATGCCTTTTAAGCTCTATGGAATAGTGTTCGCTTAAAAAAATTGATAAAACTTTGAAAAAAAAAACAACTTCCCAAAAGTTATGTATAGTACGAAATGATATTTAGCATGTATCAAAGTTTTAATTAATTTAAATAGCATGCCTCAATTCAATTTGAAATAATTTGAAGACAGATTAAATCTCCGCTTACGCGCTAATAGCACGAAATAGATTGCGCATTAATTATCCCAAACTGGCAATCATGAAACCGTCATAACTTTGCCGAAAAAACTACGGGTGAAATATATTTCTTAAATTTGAGTCCAGGACAACAATACCTTTTAGTTGATATAGTAAATGTTCCGTCAGAAAGGTCGAAATTGGTCTGGAGGAAAAAAAACCACCTGGATCACAATTATTCCGTCACTTTCGTGGAAAGTCGGAACTAAAAGATATTTCACTTCCGTTTATTGGTTAAGTTATGGCGTTTTAAAAATTGGCCAAGTTGTGGACTAATTGATGCGCGCTTTGAAATATTTATTTATGACGCTGAAAGCGTAACGCAAAATATACGAGCAGTCGTGTCGTTACCTTAGATCTTTTTCACTGATTTTTTTTTAAACAGTTCCACTTGTAGGTTAGACAGCTCGCAGCCATATAACGATATAAGACTGCTTGTATCAGGGTAGCCCTGATTGTTCCGACTGCCCTTTTACTGGTCTCAAATAGTTCTGGGAAAGAAAATAATCACATACTGTGGACATTACGCTGATAAGTTTCAGTTCTTAAATTTCGAGAAGTTTATGGAATTAATGAGGCCAATTAGCTTATTGCTTCAATCCAATTGGAATGATTTCGTAGTGCGCTATAATGCGCTCCGCCTAAATAATTCAGCATTACACTTGGCTCTTTTTTCTTTTCCAGTCTGCAAGTTTTAACTAGTAAAATTTTTTTTTTCTAGTTAAAAATTTGCTAGTTAAAATTATACTTGTTAAAATTTGCAGATTGGGAAAAGAAAAAGAGCCAAGTGTTATGCTGAAAACGTAATGCTAATTATTTAAGCGTAGCGCTTTATAGCGCACTACGAAATCATTCCAATTCGATTGTTGTGAAAAATGACGTACGGACTAATTCAACCATGACAAACATTTTTGGTCATCATAAATAACATTGTGAAATTACACCACTAAATTGATGCTCGTGGGAAGTGGGAGGAGAAGAAACAGAGCCTCGAACTGTAAAACGAGCAGTTTTTGTAGATTCTCTTTGGGTTAATTTTCCTTGCGATAAGCAAGGGTATTGCAATCGGGTACCGGGACTTATATAGACGTCTTGACTCATCTCTAGCTTGTTTCATATTTTATTCAAATTTCTTAGTGTTACCGGCCAACTTAGTGTGAATGTAACGATTATGCCTAGGACGGTCGAAGTCCTCGGTTCAACTCTGACCAGGACCTGTTTTTTTTTACAATTCGGAACTTCTCTGTTACCAAAACAATTGTCGGCCAATTATTTGTCTGCTTATCTGTTGTCGGATTAGTTGTCTCATCTTGAAATTGTTTTTTTTCTGCGCACATTTTTTAGTGTTGTTTTTAGTGTTTGATTTACGCCTGTAGTTTGTAAATTACTTACCATGACTTCGTATTTCCTTTTTCATTTAATTATTATTTCGGCTCATTTTTCATTAACTTAATGACCTAATTTTGGGCCGTTTCGAGATAAACACAATTTTAACACTCCCCTCCGCCCTCCGCACTTTTCAAGTTGGTTGTATGTTTACAAATTGGCTTGTTGAAATTTCGTTTTTTTTCGTGTTGGAAAATTTTTATTTTTTTTTGCCAAAAATTTAGTTTTTCTCAGAAAATTTCTCTGCTTTCCAAAAAAGGCGTATCAATTGAAAGACTGCTTTCTCCCTTGTGTGCCTGCATACTGCCCTATAATTTTTTTTACTTAACTTTCTATCTACAGCCTTCGAAAAAGTGTGGGGGGATTTTTTGACCAACATTTTTTTTGTTTTCTCGAAAATTAACCCTCACAAATATGAGCTTTTGGTTTCAATGAATGGACCTATTTGGAAAAGCTTCCGCTCTCAAGTGGCCACGCCCATTTTTTTTACACACAGCTATGACCGTCGGAATAGTCAAATTTATGATTGTTTGACCGTTTTTTTGAAATTTTTGAATGTTCTCGAAAACTATCTTGCCCTACCCGAGATTTGGGGTTCAATTCTCAGAACGGGTTGTGAGAAGCTCATTTGCTTCTGCTACTATTCCCAAGTTGTTTGGACTTCAAAAGTTTTGGCCCTTGGCCAAATAAAAATTTTGATTTTTTGACCGTTTTTTTGAAATTTTTTGACTTTTCGCGAAAACTAACCTCACAAATCTGAGATTTTGGATTCAATCGAAATTACAGGTTGAGTGAATCCCTTCTGCATAAGCGGCTACGCCCTATTTTTTCACGCACAAAAAGCCATGAATCTCGGAAATGTCAAATTTTTTGATCCGTTGACCGTTTTTTTTAGATTTTTCTTGCTAGCTATTCTATCAAATATGGTATCATTTGTTTAATCGAAACAACAGGTTGTTGAAAGCGTACCTTTAGAATTGGATATGTCCAGTTTGTTTACGAAAAAAAATATGGAGTTCAAGCAAGTCGAAGTTCTGTAACTTTGACCATTTTTTGGAATTTTATTGACGTTAAGCGAAAACTACCGGGCCAATTTTTAGGTTGTGTCCAATCGAGAAACCCGGCTTTGAGAATCTGCTCTGCTTAACTGGACATAACCTGCTGTTTGCAGAAAACGTTTTGGAAAGTATTTTGACCGCTTTTTAGAATTTATGACCGTTTTTTTTAGAAACATTTTGAATTTTTTTTCAGAATTTACTCGATGAAAACTGAGATGAAAAATTACATTAAAAAAGCGGCAACTCTTCAATTTTTGTAACAAAAATATTATATTTTTGGAAAAATTGATTATCTCAAAATTTTCTACTCCTCTCACTTATTTTAATAAAAAAAAACAACTAAGGTTTTAGGCAAAGTCCAATTTTTGAAATCACACCATTCGTGCCGCATCAGTATAGCAAACTCATTCAATATCGAACACGTACCTCCAGCTTTAGCTGGCCCATAGTTGTTTTTTTATCGATACATACGAAAATTTTGTTTCACCTAGTTTTTTTCAACATCTAAAAATTTTTTCGACTTATCTTTTTTTATATTTGTGTGCTCTGCGTCGCTTCTGTTTATAGTGGTGTGCGTTTCCGACGGGACCCACGAAGATCTAGGCATCGATCCCCGAGAGGAAAAATCTTGGAAATGGGTCTGAAAAAAACCACCCGAGCGTATATATTCCTCACTTTCTTCAAAAGTCGGCACAGCAAACATTCACGGTCTACGAGCGTTTTAAAGCGTTCCGTCCAGAGATCTAGCGATTAGAAGCGTGAATAGTTCGCGTGACTTTTTCAGCATCAAAGTCTAAAACGAGCAGTGGTGTGCTCCCCGGTGGGGTGAGAAGTTTTTTTTTCGGAATATTGTCTGAAAAATACCCCAAGTATGTATAGTCCTCTCTTTATTCCAAAGCCGGCAAAAAACTGTGAAAAATTTTTTTCTAGAACGTTTTAAATACTTTTTACTGGTGATTCGATCGATAATAATAGTTTTCAAAAATTTCGAACCTTTTGCTTGTTAGACGAATTTAGAGCGAATATATTCAGCATGCAGCTGTGCGTTAAGTGAAAAACTGTGCGGTAAGCTATCAAACTCTAAATTTCCAGCTGTGAAAAAGTAGTTTTTGCAGCTTCATGTAAACCTACTCGCGTCACGATGTCGTGCACCAAGGATGTGTCAGTTTGATGGCGAATAAGTTCTTGATGGCGGCGGTGTATTGGTGTATTGTCTAATAGGGCGACGCTGATGGGTCGCCTCCAATTGATAATTATATTCGACCGGCCGTTATTTGTCCCCCTCTCGATAACATTCTCCCTTTCTGCATTATATCGAAATATTTTTTTCTCTCAAAATTAAATGTGGTCGAAACCTCTGCTACTTTACAGCAACCAGCAATTCTTTTTTTAAAATGTTTTGGTTGCCCAATCAACAGGTTCTGCCGCCAGCTGCAGTTGCGACAGGTGCTGGTGAGGAGTGACCAGATGGGATTGTCTTTCAAGCCCGGACCCATGACCCAATTCCACGACAAGGTAACAAAAACCAACTTTATCTACTAACAGTATTGAGTGTCAATTGAAAATGCTCATTAACGTGTATATTTTGAATCTGCTACTCATTTGTACATAATTTTCGAATCATGTTCAGCTTACAGTATTGACATAACTTAATGAAAATGTATTTAGTTTGTAAGACGTCGTGACCAAGTGCTGGGGCTGAACTCATTGCAAAGATGGGGTGAGATCCAAACGGCCTTTATTCAACAGACTATAACGTTGACACCTCCGACGCCCTCTGCTGCTTCGGGGGGAGGAACTGTCGCCCGTTTTGGAAACAACAACAGCCGAAGCAACAGCGTAACTGGCATCGAGATTCCAAAAGAGACGAGGAGTTTGTTTCTGTTTGTTAAGTTGCAGTCATTGAAGATGATGTTGCCGAAGCCCCTGAAAAATGACAGTTTCGGATTTGCTCAGACTAGGAAGCACTGGCTGAGAGTATCTGTTTACTTTATATCTTCAGCTCAGACTGCTCCGCAGTAAGTAGATGAAAGTTCAGATGATACCTTTTTTTCGAAATTGTTCAAAATATTTTAATAGTTTTAAAATATTCTTTAGACTCCCTAGAAAACATGAAGCAATGAAACGGTCAGAAAGTGTGCTTGCAACGAGGGGGCGGATCTAGGATCCATTTGCACAAGGGGGCGGATTTTCACAAATATTTCGAAAATTTTGTTGATGTCGACCCTTTTTTAAGGTTGACTTAATTGATTTTCTGAGCTCTCCCAAAGCATTAAAAGACCGTTTTGGCCAAATTTTCCGCACCGCAGCCAATATTTTGAAAAAAAAACAGGACTAAAAAGGCGTTCTTAAGCACTTGGAAATCTTTGACCAAAAATAGCGTTTTTTGGCGCCCGCTCCCCCTCAAAATTAGTAAATATTGGCGCCTTATGCGCCTTAAGAAAAATGGAGATCTCAAATTAGTACAAAGGGGGGCCTTTGAGTAGGCAGGGGGTCGAATCCCTGGGAGAAAGCGTCCGCAAGGCGCGACCCCACCCCACCCGACCGCTGGTGCTTGCAATAATATGTAATTATTTGTGGATGATCGATGGACCATTTAGATAAAAATTGTTCCCAAGAAGTCAATACTTGGTATGGTTTAATTCCGTGTATTAAGTGTTTTCTGCTTGGGTGATTCAGGGGCGATAGACCTGGAGAACTGATGCAGGAACCCTTCTTGGTGTACTTGCCGCTGCCTATGTCAGTAGGCTACTCCTCTCAGGGGGATGGACTCAACACAGCCCCTTCTCCCCAAGACAAGATCGAGATTGGACAGTACTTGACACCCTATACTGCATCGTGTCTGTTCGAGGTTAGAAATTACTCTGAAACAAGACATAGTCAAGAAATTATTCTTAAGAAAGTATCATTTAATTATTAGGGTTCAAACAAAAATCTGTTCAGAAAAACGGAAATCAGTTGACCAGTTAGTTTCATTGGTTGGTGATATAGATATATAATATGAAGCGAGTAAACGAGAATTTGGTAATTTTTTCAAAACTAGTTGTTCTTATCTTTTGAGGTGTACACTAGCGGAGAGCTCAACCGGAACGAAAATTTCGCACATTCAAATTCGGTTCACACACAAACTGCATTCACTGTTCGTAGTCAAATGTTTGAATCAAGTCGCTTTTTATTGAAACCAAATTCGAAACAAAATTCGGATTTCAACCAAAATTCAATCATGAATAGGCAATTGCAGCAAGGCATGGCATTACCTCCGTTTCGTCGAATTACGCGAAAAACTCATAGCGGTGTGCAGACCCAACTTACTTTTTCCCCTATAAATTACGCGTCCTTTAATGAATTTCTCTCAAAATTACCACCGCCAGAACTCACAATCAGTGACGTAAAACACCAAGTTATCCCGTCAACGGAGAGCCTTACATTCAGAAGAGTTGATAACGACCGGATCGATGCAATTTGTCAGACTCTGGAAACACAGGACACAGAGTGCCAGACGCAGACTGAAGAGGACCGCTCAACCGGACAGGACACTGAATGTCAAACAACCGCCAGCATAGAGGAAGAGGACACCCCGATGTTCCGCAAAAACTTACGAAAAGTGATGGACGTAATCTTTCTAGCAGCCGCAACTAGACGAGAATATATCGCCGCTCCTAAATATGGTTAAACAACAAAAATGGGACAACATTAAGGATTGCTATGGCCCTTACTTTTATAATGTAAGACTCCGCCTGTCCGTCAGAGAAAATATCCTTCTATACGACGACAGAGTCGTTATCCCAAAGCAGTTAATACCCACACTTATGGATGCACTACACCTTACACATCCGGGACAAGGGGGAATGCTAGAAGCGGCGAAACATGTGTGGTACCCGTATTTACATCGAGATATTGTAGCAACTGCCCAAAATTGCAAAAACTGCCGTGAAAAGGGTAAGAACTTTAAAGTAATCTCGGGTGAACAACACTACACAACATTGGACGCGGTGGTAGAACCAAACGAAGAAATCCAATTGGATTTTGCGGGGCCCCTACCTGATGAGAACGATAAAGAGGTTTACATATTGGTGGTTGTCGACCGTTTCTCACGTTTTTCATACGCAAAAGTCGTAACTAATAACAAAGCGGATACAATCATCCGATTTATGCAAAATCAGATAGTAAACCAAGGCGTACCACGAGCGATCAGATGTGACCAGGCACAAGGTTTCAGGGCCAAAAAGTTCCTCATATATTGTAAAACGGATAATGTAAAACTGATTTTTGCACCAGTGGACGACCACAGAGCTATGGGTATAGTCAAAAGGCTCATCCGAACCTTAAAATCACGATTAGCAATTATGAAAATTGTTAAATCAAATCAACCATACAAATTAGCATCAGACGTGGCTGAATTAATAAAAACACTCCGCATTACCCCTAACGCATCTACAAAGGTTACACCCTTCGAAGCTCACTATGGTAGAAAAGCTAATACACCACTGAGTAACCTCAGCACGTCGCCTAAATCCTCAAATCTTTCGTGGGAAAACACTAAACTGTCATGTTTAAATGAAAAAGTGCTTTCTAAGCCCGCGCTGTCGGCGGAAACCATGTGGAACAGAGAGGTGAATAGTGAGGATGAACTGGACCTAAAGTTCAAGCACCAAGGCAAACCCACATCGGACCACCAATACGTACCCGAAACTATCTTCAATCCTGTACCACCCGCACAAAACAACGTGGAACAGAACACAATCGAGGTCCCTCCACGCACAACAATCAACTCAAACAAACAACGCCCAAAAAACCAACAGGATACCTTTCCAAACATGGATGCAATTACCCTGGATAGCAGCGATGAGGAGTTCGACAGGAGACTACTCCAAAACTTCCCAATAGGTGCGCACCTACCTCTGTCAATTAAACCGTACGAAATTAAATCACTCAAGGAATCTTTTCTAAAAGAAACAACTAACGATTTCGAAAACTTAAGGACACGTAAACCCATAAGACTTTTAACACGACAAGAAAAACAAGCTTTACAAAGGGCACCGTTACTATTCCTTAAGGATCGTTTCAAAGGTCCAGCACATACGATAGATCCTAAAACAGGACTCCGCCTCGAACAAATTGCTAGAAAAACGGGAACTATCGCCAGGAAAACTAAAAATCCGGGGACATTTGGGGCACAATTCAAAATTATTGAAAATGGTGCAATAATAAATTACTCTCCGCATACTGCGTGGATAAGGGAGGATGGCAAACAACCTAGAGTAATTAGGCATGATGGTCTCGCGTTGATACCAGACCCAAGGGTCTATGGAAAATGTAGACCAGCGGCACTAAAGGAATTCGTGGCCTATAAACACCTACCAAGAGCCAAACCGCATGTTTCAGGTAAAAAGACACCTAACAACGAGACACAAGGAGAAAAAGCAGTAACAAGTCCGAAGAGACCACCACCAAAAACAACGCAAGAAATCATTGAACAGACGTTGAATCTAAGAGCTCTTGGACCCCAAAAACTGTTGAAACCTTTTACAGCTAAAGGAAAACTGAACGCCCGGGACAGACGTAACAAAAGCGAAACGTCCACACAACGTCTCCCAAAAACAATACCGCAAGGTAAAATGAGTCCTAAAAAGAAATCAAAAGTCGATCTCACAAAGATCCAGTTCGAATGCGACACCTCAATCTCACTCTCGTCGGATACCGATCTAAACCACAAAACCCCATCACCGGATAAACAACCTGCCGCCAAAAGAATTGACCTCAAAGCCACACCGGAACCACACTCACCTGAAATCCGGCGTTCAACGAGAACGAGAAAAAGTACACTAGCGGAGAAATTCGGAAACGCTATCCCCATTGGAAACATCTCGAACAACACGGAGGCATTAATCACGGTGGCAACGATTCAGGATTCGAACAATGATGGGACTACAGCGAATGAATCAAACAACGCCACAAAAATAGACAACAGACCAACCACGGTGGCCGATGACCTTGCGGCATTTCCATCACCCTTATCACAAACATCCAAAGATATCTTGTGGACTGAGGTCCACATGAATAGTGATACACCTGAAAACGCCCGAGAAATGGTCCACGCGGATAACTCACCACCCAGAACTACAAGCTCGCGTTACATCCTTGACAAACCAAGAACAACGGAAGATTCGTTTAGTAAAGAATTCGAGGATGCTATGAATTTCCTGCAATCAATTAGGCAATTCCATGACCTTTCAAAGAGAGAAGGAACAAATAACTCAAAAATCGAGCAAACAACACTCACCGGCCACAACTATCAGAGATAACCAGAGGTGCAATAATAAATTTCTCTCCGCATACTGCGTGGATAAGGGAGGATGGCAAACAACCTAGAGTAATTAGGCATGATTGTCTCGCGTTGATACCAGACCCAAGGGTCTATGGAAAATGTAGACCAGCGGCACTAAAGGACTTCGTGGCCTATAAACACCTACCAAGAGCCAAACCGCATGTTTCAGGTAAAAAGACATTTAACAACGAGACACAAGGAGAAAAAGCAATAACAAGTCCGAAGAGACCACCACCAAAAACAACGCAAGAAATCATTCAACAGACGTTGAATCGAAGAGCTCTTGGACCCCAAAAACTGTTGAAACCTTTTACAGCTAAAGGAAAACTGAACGCCCGGGACAGACGTAACAAAAGCGAAACGTCCACACAACGTCTCCCAAAAACAATACCGCAAGGTAAAATGAGCCCTAAAAAGAAATCAAAAGTAGATCTCACAAAGATCCAGTTCGAATGCGACACCTCAATCTCACTCTCGTCGAATACCGATCTAAACCACAAAACCCCATCACCTTTCATCACCGGATAAACAACCTGCCGCCAAAAGAATTGACCTCAAAGCCACACCGGAACGAACCACACTCACCTGAAATCCGGCGTTCAACGAGAACAAGAAAAAGTACACAAGCGGAGAAATTCGGAAACGCTATCCCCATTGGAAACATCTCGAACAACACGGAGGCATTAATCACGGTGGCAACGATTCAGGATTCGAACAATGATGGGACTACAGCGAATGAATCAAACAACCCCACAAAAATAGACAACAGACCAACCACGGTGGCCGATGACCTTGCGGCATTTCCATCACCATTATCACAAACATCCGAAGATATCTTGTGGACTGAGGTCCACATGAATAGTGATACACCTGAAAACGCCCGAGAAACGGTCCACGCGGATAACTCACCACCCAGAACTACAAGCTCGCGTTACATCCTTGACAAACCAAGAACAACGGAAGATTCGTTTAGTAAAGAATTCGAGGATGCTATGAATTTCCTGCAATCAATCAGCCCAATTAGGCAATTCTATGACCTTTCAAAGAGAGAAGGAACAAATAACTCAACAATCGAGCAAACAACACTCAGCGGCCACAACTATCAGAGATGACCAGAGGTGCAATAAAAAATTTCTCTCCGCATACTGCGTGGATAAGGGAGGATGGCAAACAACCTAGAGTAATTAGGCATGATTGTCTCGCGTTGATACCAGACCCAAGGGTCTATGGAAAATGTAGACCAGCGGCACTAAAGGACTTCGTGGCCTATAAACACCTACCAAGAGCCAAACCGCATGTTTCAGGTAAAAAGACATTTAACAACGAGACACAAGGAGAAAAAGCAATAACAAGTCCGAAGAGACCACCACCAAAAACAACGCAAGAAATCATTCAACAGACGTTGAATCGAAGAGCTCTTGGACCCCAAAAACTGTTGAAACCTTTTACAGCTAAAGGAAAACTGAACGCCCGGGACAGACGTAACAAAAGCGAAACGTCCACACAACGTCTCCCAAAAACAATACCGCAAGGTAAAATGAGCCCTAAAAAGAAATCAAAAGTAGATCTCACAAAGATCCAGTTCGAATGCGACACCTCAATCTCACTCTCGTCGAATACCGATCTAAACCACAAAACCCCATCACCGGATAAACAACCTGCCGCCAAAAGAATTGACCTCAAAGCCACACCGGAACTACACTCACCTGAAATCCGGCGTTCAACGAGAACGAGAAAAAGTACACTAGCGGAGAAATTCGGAAACGCTATCCCCATTGGAAACATCTCGAACAACACGGAGGCATTAATCACGGTGGCAACGATTCAGGATTCGAACAATGATGGGACTACAGCGAATGAATCAAACAACGCCACAAAAATAGACAACAGACCAACCACGGTGGCCGATGACCTTGCGGCATTTCCATCACCCTTATCACAAACATCCAAAGATATCTTGTGGACTGAGGTCCACATGAATAGTGATACACCTGAAAACGCCCGAGAAACGGTCCACGCGGATAACTCACCACCCAGAACTACAAGCTCGCGTTACATCCTTGACAAACCAAGAACAACGGAAGATTCGTTTAGTAAAGAATTCGAGGATGCTATGAATTTCCTGCAATCAATTAGGCAATTCCATGACCTTTCAAAGAGAGAAGGAACAAATAACTCAAAAATCGAGCAAACAACACTCACCGGCCACAACTATCAGAGATAACCAGAGGTGCAATAATAAATTTCTCTCCGCATACTGCGTGGATAAGGGAGGCTGGCAAACAACCTAGAGTAATTAGGCATGATTGTCTCGCGTTGATACCAGACCCAAGGGTCTATGGAAAATGTAGACCAGCGGCACTAAAGGACTTCGTGGCCTATAAACACCTACCAAGAGCCAAACCGCATGTTTCAGGTAAAAAGACATTTAACAACGAGACACAAGGAGAAAAAGCAATAACAAGTCCGAAGAGACCACCACCAAAAACAACGCAAGAAATCATTCAACAGACGTTGAATCGAAGAGCTCTTGGACCCCAAAAACTGTTGAAACCTTTTACAGCTAAAGGAAAACTGAACGCCCGGGACAGACGTAACAAAAGCGAAACGTCCACACAACGTCTCCCAAAAACAATACCGCAAGGTAAAATGAGCCCTAAAAAGAAATCAAAAGTAGATCTCACAAAGATCCAGTTCGAATGCGACACCTCAATCTCACTCTCGTCGAATACCGATCTAAACCACAAAACCCCATCACCGGATAAACAACCTGCCGCCAAAAGAATTGACCTCAAAGCCACACCGGAACGAACCACACTCACCTGAAATCCGGCGTTCAACGAGAACAAGAAAAAGTACACAAGCGGAGAAATTCGGAAACGCTATCCCCATTGGAAACATCTCGAACAACACGGAGGCATTAATCACGGTGGCAATGATTCAGGATTCGAACAATGATGGGACTACAGCGAATGAATCAAACAACCCCACAAAAATAGACAACAGACCAACCACGGTGGCCGATGACCTTGCGGCATTTCCATCACCATTATCACAAACATCCGAAGATATCTTGTGGACTGAGGTCCACATGAATAGTGATACACCTGAAAACGCCCGAGAAACGGTCCACGCGGATAACTCACCACCCAGAACTACAAGCTCGCGTTACATCCTTGACAAACCAAGAACAACGGAAGATTCGTTTAGTAAAGAATTCGAGGATGCTATGAATTTCCTGCAATCAATCAGCCCAATTAGGCAATTCTATGACCTTTCAAAGAGAGAACGAACAAATAACTCAACAATCGAGCAAACAACACTCACCGGCCACAACTATCAGAGATGACCAGAGGTGCAATAAAAAATTTCTCTCCGCATACTGCGTGGATAAGGGAGGATGGCAAACAACCTAGAGTAATTAGGCATGATTGTCTCGCGTTGATACCAGACCCAAGGGTCTATGGAAAATGTAGACCAGCGGCACTAAAGGATTTCGTGGCCTATAAACACCTACCAAGAGCCAAACCGCATGTTTCAGGTAAAAAGACATTTAACAACGAGACACAAGGAGAAAAAGCAATAACAAGTCCGAAGAGACCACCACCAAAAACAACGCAAGAAATCATTCAACAGACGTTGAATCGAAGAGCTCTTGGACCCCAAAAACTGTTGAAACCTTTTACAGCTAAAGGAAAACTGAACGCCCGGGACAGACGTAACAAAAGCGAAACGTCCACACAACGTCTCCCAAAAACAATACCGCAAGGTAAAATGAGCCCTAAAAAGAAATCAAAAGTAGATCTCACAAAGATCCAGTTCGAATGCGACACCTCAATCTCACTCTCGTCGAATACCGATCTAAACCACAAAACCCCATCACCGGATAAACAACCTGCCGCCAAAAGAATTGACCTCAAAGCCACACCGGAACCACACTCACCTGAAATCCGGCGTTCAACGAGAACAAGAAAAAGTACACAAGCGGAGAAATTCGGAAACGCTATCCCCATTGGAAACATCTCGAACAACACGGAGGCATTAATCACGGTGGCAACGATTCAGGATTCGAACAATGATGGGACTACAGCGAATGAATAAAACAACCCCGCAAAAATAGAGAACAGACCAACCACGGTGGCCGATGACCGTGCGGCATTTTCATCTCCATTATCACAAACATCCGAAGATATCTTGTGGACTGAGGTCCACATGAATAGTGATACACCTGAAAACGCCCGAGAAACGGTCCACGCGGATAGCTCACCACCCAGAACTACAAGCTCGCGTTACATCCTTGACAAACCAAGAACAACGGAAGATTCGTTTAGTAAAGAATTCGAGGATGCTATGAATTTTCTGCAATCAATCAGCCCAATTAGGCAATTCCATGACCTTTCAAAGAGAGAAGGAACAAATAACTCAAAAATCGAGCAAACAACACTCACCGGCCACAACTATCAGAGATAATCAATACACAACTGCGATGATAGGAAAGGTCAACGAGGACCAGCAGGAGGAGGACATATAATTGTGGAGACATACTAAATTGATAGACTCAATTTATCAAAAAGAGGGGAATGTTATCCGTACGGATATTATAGCAAAACATCCAGTATTGATCAATCCAGTTCAGGTGCTAACATAACCAGTTGTTAACATTAGCATGTCATAGACTTAGAGTAAAATAATTAACCTATAGAAGTCTGATGATTAAATCAGTACCTATTTATACGTAATCACATATGTACTAGTACTTATAAGGCACTGTCTCTCAAATGATTCGAGGTCAGTGTCAGCCAGACTTAAACATAGAACGTTGAATTTAAGTTGTTCTTTTATTCGTTTAATTCTCATCCAACACACAGCGTAGTTCACACTAACACAGAACCAACATAGATTATACCTCACATAACGGTCGAGGGTATAACATGAGGTTTAAGCTTCCCATCTCCCACCCTAGAGAAATTGGTAAATTTTTTGAGACAATCGGGGGAAAATAGAGTTTTAACTTAAAACAATTTTTGCCACGAGAGCACTGATAACTTTCGTATCACCGGCTACCTTTGTTGCATCTGCGATAATTACCAAATGAAGTCATAATTGCAGCGTGTGTCTGTGTGTGCAAGTGGTGCGTCGTCTTCGTTCTTGGGTGGTCGTGGTGCTGCTGGAAACTCCAAAGTCCGCATCTATTGTGACCTGCTCGTTCAGAGCAGTAAGGGGTCATTGGAGGTCATTGCCAAGTGTGGTCTTCCACGTAAGTAAATGCAGAATCCCGTGTGAATATGACCCAAAGGGATGTTAAGGACAGCAACAGAATGTCAATGAGACAAATTAGGGAACTTTTATTATTTTAAGAGAGTTAAGCTGACCGTTAAGTCAACTATTTTAGAAGTTGACCGTTAAGTCAACTATTTTAGAAGTTGACCGGCCAAATAGTCACCACAATTTTCTACAATGTTTTTACCCCCGATATAATTCATATTTGAGCATGCAAAGTGATGTATTCAGCGACAAGTAAACCGGGTCTCTTAAACTATAAACAATCATCGATACTCAAAGAACGAGTGAGAGAGGGTGCTGCTATTGCCACTTCTTCAACAAATTATTTCATTTTCGACTCGCAGTCAAGACCCGTTAACAGCAATCCGACGGATTACTGCTTAACATATCATGGCCACTAGGAAATAGAAAATAACTTTGTTTTCTCATTTCCACCTGCAAGTGCTATTCTCATGGCAGAAGGACGCGAATAGCAGAAGGTTTTCAACCAATCAAAATATTTTATTATTATTCAAAGATGTGGCTAAACGTTCAGCTTTCTTCATGGTTTAGCTTATGTTGTGTATTTAGTGGGCAATAATGAGATGGATGCTATGGCCCAGGGTATGATTCATCCAACTATGGCTCATTCTCAGCTGCAGCAGCCTCAGCTTTACTCGGAAAATGATTTCTCACTCCGACCGACTGCATCTGCGCTCACTACTGAAGAGCCTTCACAGACCAAGTAAGAACAGTCCAGTCCCTATTTGGTATTATTTTATGACAGCCATTTTAGGCCAATCAATCCTATTTTTTTTCTAAAGGCACCAATGACAATTTTTGGGCAAAAAAACGATTGTTGTGCCTAAAAACGATTTTTGTGCCCAAAAAGTGCCCAAAAACTATTTTTGGACCTTTTTTCGTCTTCAAAATTTGCAGTTCACCCATTTCGGAGAAGTTTTGCTTGCAAAAGCATTTATTTCTAAAACCTAAGATTTACATGTAAAAATTGTCAAAATTGGCAGGTTGCTCTTTGAAGTCAGTTATTTCTGCCTGATTCTGTTAGTTGGATAGATCTTTTTTGGAAAATTTGCCCGACAAAAATGCGTATTTTGGCGCACTCGTTCCCAAAGTTAGCAAGAGAGCAAGTGTCTTGTAATCGGGAATCGGGAAGTGGACATCTTTCTTACAAATCTGTAATATATTGAACTTGTATTACTATTCAACCTTAACAAATCCCAAAATCCTTTCCACTAGCTCTAGAGGTAGCCTACGGTCTGGGGTTCGAGACCTTGCTTTTTTCAAACGTGTTAGTATCAATTTTGATCCTGGAAAAATTTATTGCCGGAATTCGCTTGTCTGCTTGTTTTTTCGTCTTATTTAGCACGCCATGCAAGCATTTTTTTAAAGTTACTATTTCTGATTTTGTCCGTTTTCCTTTTTTCGTTTTTTTTGCTTAAAAATTTCTTTTCTGCCTAAATAGTTTCGGCATAAGTTTTTTGGCTTAGTCGATTTAGTTTTTGTCATTTGAAGGCCAAAAAATTACCATTGTTTTTCAAAACAGTTCTTTTTGTTCCGACTTTCGATACGAAAGTAACGGAAGATTTGTGCTCGGGGTGGGTTTTTTCTTCAGACAAATTTCGACTTTTTAACTAGCCATTTTTGACGGAATTTTTTATACCATTCGAAAGGTATTGTTGTCCTGAGCTCAAATTTGAAAAGATATTTCACCTGTGACAATTTTTCGTAAAGTTACGGGGGTTTCAAGTTTGCCAATTTGGGACAATTAACACGCGATATATTTCGCGCTATTAACGCGTAAGCGGAGAGTTAATCCGTCTTAGAAATCGTTCCAAATTGGTTAAAAGAAGCATATTTGCCATAATTGGTTTGTTACAAGGAGCAAAATTTATCCTTTTGTACTTTATATGGCGTGTGGGGGGATGAAAAAATTTCATAAAAAGTTTCAAATTTTTCATTTTGTTTTATTTCATTGAATTTTTAAATGCTATTACTGCTCCATAAACCTCAAAAGGCAGTCGGAACATTCAGGGCTTCGCCCTGATATGAGCAGTCTTGTTTTTTTTTGTGCTGTAAAGTTTCGAGGTTTCAACACTAAATTGCTCAAAAAATGTTCACACCAATTATTTTGTATGCTTTTTTCCGGCTCAACGTATTGTTGGCCTAGTGGCCGCTCGATAAAAACTAAATTTAATTTGATGCTGGTAGCTGTGTTTTTTTGCTGTTTTCTTTGTCTTTTCTGAGCAAAGATTTTTTTTTTTCGATTTTGCTATTTTCGTCTCAACAACTTGCAATATTCGCTAGTTTGCAGTACTACGGTTGAATTCTTTTGCAATTGATGCGAAACTCGGCTCCGCGTATCGTATAGTGGTGACGCGTATCCCTTATGTTTTATATGCTTATTGTAGATTTAGTCTTATTTTGATATCATTGTCTGAATTAATTGATCTTTTTACAGGAGGGGGCCACCCCTGCACCCCCGTCTTAAGCCGCTTTTGACTGTTTGTATCTGATGACCGCTCGACTAGCTTAAAGCTCGACTGAAAGCATAACAGTCTGAAAGCGTAAAAATGTATCGACTTGCATAATTTTGATAGCTGTGTTTCTCCGAAATACAAAGGACAATTATAATCCATTCAAATTGAAACTTGAATATCTGAGTAATAGAAAACTAGGCAATTTGGAAGTGATGCAAGCAAATTAAATTCCTTAACAGATAAATCGTGATCAGCCTGCCTCATCTCGACCTGTAATGGCTGAACCGAACACTGATCGCCGCGCAAATTGTGAAATATGTGACAAAACTGCGGAACCAAGTTAAGCTCCTCCCCTCAAAGCTGTTTGTGGGGCGTAGGGGGGAGTAGTGACGGATATAGGTTTTTCTCGAGGGAGGGATGAATTTTAAAAAAATAGCGAAAATTTAGTCGATTTTTTTTAGTTCAACCAAGTTGATTTTCCAAGCACTCCCAGAACACTATAAAGACCCTATTTTGACTAAAAAAATTAAAAGCAGGTCAAAAATGCAGTTTTTGGGCATTTTTTGGAAAATTAAAAAAATCGCGTTTTTTGGCGCTTCCCTTCAAAATTATCATAAGCTGGCATCGAATGCGCGTTTAAAAAAGTTTTGGGTTGATCGGCCCAAAATGGATGTCATAAAATAATACTTAAATTGTTTCTTTGGTTGGCGAGGAGGTCGAATCCCTGGGTGAGGGGGATGAAGGATGTATATTTGGTTTTAATTTGGACATTATCAGCCAATGAGAACCGAGCATTTTACATGCAGCGCTTAGCAAATTTTATCCTGCGAATTAAATGATGGGATGGAATTAAATACTGGGAAGCCTAATTTGGTCTATCTGGTGAGGGATGTTAACTTGATCCAAACTGTATTATGTTTATTTTTTGTTTTTATTGGTTTTATTTATGTCAATATTTGAATTTTGTGTTTGGTTTTTGTGCTATTCGATATGATTTTCATTTTAAACTTTTTTTGTGCTAGTCGAATTGTATGCTAGTCGGTACACCGCCTCTGTGTTTATCAGAAGAAACCTTTTTAGGATGTTGCGGCGATATAACACTACGTGCGGTGCCTATATCATATGAGAAAAAATGAAAGCTATACTGAGCGAATGGGGGACCGGACTTTCATTATGTGTATTTAGGAAATCAATATGAAAGATTACAGTTGACTCGCTCGCTATTGCGAGATTTATCTACTGGAGCTGGTGTGTTCAAATAGCGTGCTTTGTAGGTAAAAAAATGTTTAATTAGGTGCAATTGTAAATTTGACTTGCGCAATAAATCAGATACATTTTTTTAAGATGAAATGAAATTTTTTGGCTTATTTCATTTTCGACTAAAATAACACCACCCAATGGGGGGCATTTAAAAGTCCCGACATACAACAGTGCAGTAACTACAAATATGATCAAATATGCCAAAAAAACGATGATTTTCGGCGCCGTTGAACAAAGTTTTTAGCGCCGAAGTACAACAGTGCCAAAAAATAAAGCGTTGTTCAGAAGTGCCAAAAACTGACAATAGGAACTTTTGAAACTTGTACTTCAGCACTGTTTTGCTGCCTCTCACCCAAGTAAAGGAATTAGCGCATGATAAATGGCGTTTTGCTTACGGCTTCGCCCCCCCCCCCCCAGTGATTGCTATTATTTGTGCATGAGTAATAATTTGGTTTGTAAAAATAAGAAAGAAAATACCCGGGTTGACAATAAATGCTAGTCATACAATTCTCTTACCGTTTCCCATAAAATTAAAAAATTGTACGGAAATAATAAGACAAGCATTTTTCATCAATGAAAATTGTTTGATTTGCTTTTTTTTCTCCATTCAATTTGTTTTTGTGTTTGTTGTAAGCACGCACAGTACATGTAGATAAATATTAACCATAGGTTAGAATGACATTTAAACTATGCATAATGAGATCATATCTTGAAATAATTATTCGCGCTACAGCAGTAATTTTATTCAATCACTCAACTTCTTAAAATTGGTACTAAAAAGGGCTGCTGCATTTTTAACGGTCGTAAATCAGGCGTGATTTATAAATGAAGAAGTGCCTGGTACCGACGTTAATCAAAGTTTCAGGTTTCTGCTTAATTCAATAAACTAAACATTATGTTAATAATGGTTGAAATTTACCACGCCATGCAAGCATTTTTAACTGTTGTAAGTGTTGCTGATTTAGTACTGTAATTTGTAAATTGAATATTTCTAACTTTGTAGGTTTTTTTTTTTTTTCGCTTCAGAAATTCTTTTTTTTTTGCTTTAATAGTTTTGGCATATGAGTTTTTTTGGCTATTCATTTGAATGACAAAAAAAGATCAGTGTTTTTAAAAACAATTCTGTTTAATTGTGGTGTAAAATTTCAAGGTTTTAACACTAAATGGCTCAAAAATTGTTCTTGCCAACAATTTCGCATGCTTTTTTGGCTCAACGTATTGTTGGCTTAGTGGCCGCTCGTTAAAAACCAAATTTAATGTAATGCTGGTAGCTGTGTTCTTTTTGCTGTTTTGTTTGTTTTTTCCAAACAAAAATTGATTTCTGTTTCGATTTAGCTATTTTCGTCTCAACAACTTGCAATATTCGCTAGTTTGCAATACTGCGGTTGAATTCTTTTGCAATTGATGCGAAACTCGGCTCCGCGTCTCTGCGTATCGTATAGTGGTAACATTAGAAACGCTTATGTTTTATTTGCTGATAGTATATTTAGTCTTTTTTTGACATCATCATCTAATTTAGTTGATCTTTATACAGGAGGGGGTCATCCCTGCACCCCTGTATTAAGCTGCTTTTGACTGTTTGCATCTAATGACCGCTCGACTAGCATAAATCTCGACTGAAAACATAACAGTCTGAAAGCGTAAAAATGTATCGACTAGCATAATTTTGATAGCTGTATTTCTCCGAATTACAAAGAACAATTATAATCCATTCAAATTGAAACTTGAATATCTGAGTAATAAAAAACTAGGCAATTTGAAAGTGAAGCAAGCAAATTAAATCCTTAACAGATAAATCGTGATCAGCCTCATATCGACCTGTAATGGCTGAACCAAACCCTGATCGCCGCGCAAATTGTGTAATGTGTAAAAATTGCGATACCAAATTAAATTCCTACCTCCAAAGTCGTTTTTAAGGGAGGGGGGGGGGGGTGAGATGATTAGGGGTGGATATAAGTTTTTCTTGAAAATGAGGGTTAATTTAAAA